CTCCTTCATAGATCAGTGGCATCAGGTGGGCTGACAAGGAAGTTCTTTGTAAAACTACAGTTGGGTCAGGCTCGGTGGCTCAACCTGTAATCCCAGCACTTTGGGAGGCCAAGGCGAGTGGATTGCCTGACCCCACAGGTTTGAGACACACCCAGGCAACTTGGCAAGATCTTGTCTCTACAATAAAAGTCAAAAATTAGCCAAGCGTGGTAGTGTGCACCTGTAGTTCTGGCTACTTGGAAGGCTGAGGCAGAAGGATCACTGGAGCCCATCAGGTTGAGGCTGCTGGAGCTGGGAGTGTGCCACTGCACTCCAGTCGGGGCAACAGAGTGAGACTCCAACTCAAAATAAATAAATAAACACACAAACAAATAAATAAATAAAACAAAACTACAGCTGCACAGCTACAACAGAGCATTATGCCAAATAATACACAAAACACTGCAACTCCTAATCTTCTCTCACTTCATCAGCCACAATCTCAAGACTCTGACTTGCTATGAGTTTATAGTATGGTGTAAGTTGGAAAGAAAGGTAAAACCATGAGGAAAACCAACCCCATGCCTGAAATTCCAAGGCCTCCAGCAAAAGCATACACACAGCAGGTCAATGAAAGACCTGCCACTGAGTACTAGGGGACCAGCAAAGAGCCATCCCCATGGGGCAGATGTGTTCTCCATCAGCAGGTGCAGGTTGAGAAAGTGCTCAATCCTGGAGTCTGTTATCACATTAGAAACCTGAACTAAAAATGTGGAGCCACTTCCTCCCTGAAGGAGGAGACTCCTGGGTTCTTATCTGGCCAAACCAGGCAGTCCATACTTCCTCCCCAATCTCCTCACTTAAAGAAACCACAGGCTGAGGCGGAAGGATCGCCAGAGCCCAGCAGGTCGAGGCTGCGGTGGCCGGGAGTGACCACTGCACTCTAGTCTGGGCGACAGAGTGAGACTCCGACTCAAAAAAAAAAAAAGAAACCACTGTAGGCTGGAAAATTTACTCAAAGTTTAGACTCTTGACTACCTTTCCCCCAGGCATTTACCGTAATAAAAAGCCACCCAAAGGCCAGGACTGTGGTTCATGTCTATAATCCCAGCACTCTGGAAGGCGAAGGTGGAAGGATTGCTTGAACCTAGGAGTCTTGAGACAAGCCTGGGCAAAATAGCAAGCCCTCATCTCTACAATATATCAAAAAATTAGCCAGGTGGAGTGGCACGTGCCTGTAGTCCCAGATACTTGGGGAGCTGAGGTCAAGGCTGCCACGAGTTGTGAGTCATGATCATGCCACTGCACTCCAGCCTGAGCAACAGAGTGAGACCCCAACTCAAAAAAAAAAAAAAAAAAGTCAGCCAAGCACTGACACCAAAAATAAGGCAACAAAATAAAAGCCTGATAAACTGGACTTCCTCAAAATTAAGAAAGTTTTGTGCATCAAATGACACTACTAAGAGAATGAAAAGATAACCCAGATAATTTTTTAAATCACTAAATCTAATATCTATTAATGGTTTAATATTCAGAACATATAAACAATTCAACTACAACTCAATTTAAAATGTGGGCAAGCTGGGCATGGTGGCTCATGCTTGTAATCCCAGCACTTTAGGAGGCTAAGGCGAGAGGATTGCCTGAACCCATGGGTTGGGGACGAACCTGGGCAACATGGTGAGCTCTTATCTCTACAATAAATAAATAAATAATTAGCTGGGCATTGTGGTGTATGCCTGTAGTTCAGCTACTTGGAAGGCTGAAGTGGAAGGATCGCCTGAGCCCAGCAGGTTGAGGCTGGGCGACAGAGTGAGACTCTGACTCAAAAAAATTTTTTAAATTTAAAAAATAAAAATATGGGCAAAGGGAGGCTGGGTGTGGTGGCTCATGCCGGTAATCCTAACACTTTGGGAGGCCGAGGTGTACAGACTGCTTGAGCCTAGGAGTTCAAGATAAGCTTGGGCAACACAGCAAAACCTCCTCTCTACAAAAAAAATAAAAATAAATACAAATATGAAAAATTAGCCAGGCGTGGTAGTACTACTCTGGATACTGAGGTGGAAAAAATGCCTGAGCCCAGGAGGTTGAGGCTGCCATGAGCCATGATCACATCACTGCACTCCAGCCTGGGAGACAGAGTAAGACTCTAACTTTAAAAAAAAAAAAAAAAAAAATATTTATATATATATATATATATATATATATATATATATATATATATATAGAGAGAGAGAGAGAGAGAGAGAGAGAGAGAGAGAGAGAGAGACAGAGACAGAGACACACAAAGGACCTGAATAGATACTTCTCCAAAGAAGGTATACAAATGGCAAATGTACAACATCACTAGTTATTAGGGAAATGTAAGTTAAAAACCACAATTAGATACCACTGCACGCCCATTAGGATGGCTATGATTTAAAAAAAGAAAAGAACAAGTGTTGGGGAGAAATTGGAAGCCTTGTGCACTGCTGCTAGGAATGTGCAATGGACCAGACACTATGGAAAACAGCATGGTGGGTCCTCAAAAAGTTAAACAGAGTTACAATACAGTCCAGCAATTCCACTTCTGGTTATATAGCCAAAGGAATTCAAAGCAAAGATTCAAACATATTTATATTCCCATGTTTATAACAGCATTATTTACAATAGCCAGAAAGTAGAAGCAACCCAACTGTTCATCAACAGATAAGTAGATAAACAAAATGTAGTATATACATGCATTATTCAGCCTTAAAAAGCAAGGAAATTCTGACACATACTACAACATGGATGAACCTTAAAGACATGCTAAGTGAAATAAACCCATCACAACAGGACAAACACTGCAAGATTTCATTTATATGTGGTGCCTAGAGCAGTCAAATTCAGAGACAGAAAGTAGAATGGGGATTGCCAGGGACTGGGAAAAGGGGAAACGGGAAGTTATTATTTAGTGGTTACAGAATTTCTGCTTGAAAGAATTCTTTTTTTTTTTTTGACTTTGAGTCTCACTCTGTCACCCAGGTTGAAGTGCAGTGGCATGCTCATAGCCACCACAGCCTTGACCTGCTAGGCTCAGGTGATCCTTCTGTCTCAGCCTTCCAAGTAGCTGGAACCATAGGTACATGCCATTATGCCCTGCTAATTTTATTTTATTCATTGTAGAGACGAGGTCTCGCCAAATTGCCCAGGCTGGTCTCGAACCCCTGGACTCAGGCAATCCTCTCACCTCTGCCCCCCCAAGTGATGGGATTACAGGCGTGAGCCACTGTGCCCAGATAAAAAAATTAATTTTTTTTTGAGTTGGAGTCTCACTCTGTCACCCAGGCTGGGGTGCAGTGGCACGCTCTTGGTCACTGCAGCCTCGACCTGCTGGGCTCAGGCGATCCTTCCGCCTCAGCCTTCCAAGTAGCTGAAATCACAAGCATGCACCATCATGCCTGGCTAATATTTTTATTTATTGTAGAGACAGGTCTCACCATGTTGCTCAGGCTGGTCTTGAACCCCTGAGCTCAGGCAATCCTCTTGCCTCCACCACCCAAAGTGCTGGGATTACAGGCATAAGTCACCATGCCTGGCCTGAAAAAATTATTGAAATAGACTGTGATGATGGCTACACACATAGTAAATGTACTTAATGCCACTGAATTATACACTAAAAATGATTAAAACAGTAAATTGTTATGTATATTTTATCCGATTCCCTTTTTACTTTGCTGGTCTTTCCAAAGTAATGGAGAGGAAGAAGAACTCTGAAGTTCACTATCGGTATGCAAACCCTGGCCCCGTTACTTGAGGCTGTGGGACTTGGGACAAATTGCTTTGTCTCCTTGAGCTCAGATTTTATGTCTTCAGTAGGGAATAAGAGCCCCTACACATCCATTCTCACTGGGTTGTTTTTAGATCTAACAGGATAATCTGTGAAAGAACTCTTGACCACAAAGGGCCAAGATTGTTGATTCGTTGTTGGATGGGTGAAAACTGTGTCCTTTACTGTATGAAGTACAAAGAATGTTAAATATCCAGACCTACTAGAGGTGGGAGAAATTTCCCACTTTCCAATTTAAAACAAACAAACATAGCAGTTTGGTGTCCTGTGGGAAAGGGGAAGTAATAGAGAGTGAAAGCTGGCCAGACTGACTTCTGCTTTTGTTGGCAGCCTGCAGAACATACCAGTTACCCCCCAAACTGCCAGGCCTAGGAAATTCAAGCACCAGCCTTTGAAACCTAGCTAGTCCACCTGAGCTGTTGGCTTGGATTTAGGGCACAGATTATTGGGAACGTAAGGGACAAAATAGCATTCTCAGTGCCCATTGTCATGGAAAGGATGTGTCAGACCATCAGGAGAACTGGCCTTTAATGAGGCATTCTCTCAGTTGACTGGAAATATGACCTGATTGTTATTTTTTCCTGTGTTTTAAAAATTGGGATAATCCGGGCTTGGTGGCTCAGCCTGTAATCCCACGCCTTGGGAGGCTGAGGTGAGTGGATTGCCTGAGCCCGCGGGTTCGAGACCTGCCTGGGTAACTTGGTGAGACCTCATTTCTACGATAAATCAAAAAAATTAGCCACGTGTGGTAGCGCGCACCTGTAGTTCCAGCTACTCGGAAGGCTGAGGCAGAAGGATCTCCAGAGCCCAGCAGGTCGAGGCTGTGATGGCCGTGAGCGTGCCACTGCACTCCAGCCTGGGCGACAGAGTGAGACTCCGACTCAAAAAAAAAAAGAAGAAAAGAAACTACAAGCGGCCCTGGACACTCACACGAAGAGTCAGCAGGCAAGTGCCAACGGCTAAGCGAGTCGCTGACCACAGCCCTCCGCTCCTGCGCATGCGCAATGGCCGCACCCGCGCCGGAGAGTCCCACGCCAGGTAGCCGCTGATTTCGTGGGCGGGCGCCGTCTTCTCGCGCATGCTCCCGCCGCCCGCACATGCGCGCCCTCGGCTGCTGTCTTTTCCTAGTAGTCTCCTGTCCTCCCCTATTCCGGTCCCGGACTCCGAACCCTAGGGACTTCAGCTGCGACCCCCACTCCGCATTTGTCACCTTGCGCCCGGTTTTCTCCCGCAGAGCCTTCAGCCGTTCCTTCCGTCGCAGCGCCTCCTCCTCTAGCCGACCCATACCGGCCGCAGTAGCCGCCATCTTGCCCGTCGGCCCCTCCTTTTCCCTCATCTGGCACTGCGCAGGCCCAAGGAGAGGCGATGATTGTCTCACCGCCAATCCCAGGACGGGAAGGAGAGAGCCGGAAGTCCTGAAAGCCAATCAATGCTGGGTCACTATGGGAGGATCCGCCCTCTTCCTCCTTGGCAACTTGCCTTGTGGGTGGGGAAACCACCAAAAAAAAAAAAAAAGACAGAAAAGATAAAAAGGTGCTAAGGCTTGATTTATCCAACGCTAATCTGTGAGAAAGCAGCAAGTGGAATCAGACCTGAGAGAAGGAGAATAGAGTGCGTCGATTGCTCCACAACTTACTTCATATTGACCTCCTTCAATGCCCTGACCCGTCCTTGTCCATTTGTCCTGACTCTTAAAGGCTCAAATGCCAACCGGACTCGGTGGCTCAGCCTGTAATCCCAGCGCTTTGGGAGGCTGAGGTGAGTGGATTGCCTGAGCCCGCGGGCTCGAGAACCGCCTGGGCAACTTGGCGAGCTTTCATCTCTACAATAAATCAAAAATTAGCCGGGCATAGTAGCGCACGCCTACTTAGAAGGCTGAGGTGGAATCCTTCCCTAACCCTCCACTCCGATCTCACACTAATATGAGGTCTGCCTCTCCACACCTCTACAGCTGTCAGCGGCTCCCTGGACTCACCTGACCAAGCGTTCCTAAGCCCCTGTGTCAACTCTCAGCTCAGACAAAGCCTGCCTAGTGCAGACCTGGCTGAATGGCTGTTTCCCTCTGGGTTCAAAGATGATCCCCTCTCACCCCCTCCTAGAGCAGGACAGTACTCAGGGTCTAGCCACCTTCCCTGGAGAAGAGCAAACTCCAACAATGGACCTCAAGGACACGCCTCCCCACCACACCCCTCCTCCAAGGCTTAGGAAGAGTTAGTTTGGTCTTGGCAGCAAGTGGCTACAAGGTGCGTGACTCCCTGGCAGAAGCTGCCATAGTCTTCTTTCCTGCGTTAATCAGCATATCCTGATAACCAAAAGACCATTTCAGCTGAAGTCAAGATCTGTCAGCTTACAGGGGTTCCCAAAGCCTCACCCCTCTCTGTTGGGGATAGGAAACCATGTCTCCTTTTTCTTACCCCTTGCCTCTGCTGCCTGGGGGTGACTGGCAGCTTAGCAAAACTGTTCCCTGCCTGGGGCCTCCCTTTCCAGCCTGGCTGCAGGTGGACTCCCACTTCTCTGCTCCCAACTCCCTTCAAAGTCCCATGTGCCACACTCGACCCTCTTGACCTCACTAACCTGGGTCTGTTGCAGGGGGATTGAAGACCCATTGGTGACAGGTTTTTGGTGCCATGAGCAAAGAATTGGACAATACACACACAAAGAGAGCTAAAGCAGAGTGGTTTATTTAGCAAAAGCAAGAGGTGACAGTACACTCCAAAGAGAGGAGCAGGCCGCTTATCTGTTGAGGCTCGCCTTACAGTCTCCATCCAAATTCCTACCTCAGGTCTGTCTAGGCCTTCTCCCCCATAGTGAATGGGGTGCCCTGCCAGGGCTTGGCATGTAGGTTGGAGGTGCTTAGGAAGTGTCAGCTCAGAGCTAGGATGGATGGGGAAAAGTTAGGAAAAGTTAGATTGGAGGGGTGACCCAAGAAGTTAGGAGTACACAACAGGACAGGAATGTGAACAGGGTCTGTCTTTTCTTGTCCACCCAAGGTCTAGGGCTTTCCATACTGGTCAATTCCTAAATCTCTCTGGGTCCATTAAACTTTCCCCCAGCCCCTACAAAGTGTCTGCCCAACACCAGGGGGCCCCTCACTTCACAGGCAGTCTGCATACAGGGAAAGGGCACAGGGGTGATGGTGGCAGAGGCTCAGCAAAGAATCAAGCCTAAGCCCCATCCCTGCTACTCCTGGCTGCCCAGGTGGTCCTCACTTGCCTTGTCTAGGCCTCAGTTTTTCCATCTGTAAAACAGCCATGAGGCACCCACCTCATGTGGTTAAAGAAACAAAAGATATGAAGCAACTGGTGGACCCAGAAATGGTGATGGGGGGTCCACTGGAACATCTGGGAAGGCTTCCTGGAGGAGAGAGAAGACCCCTGGGGATGGTCTAACCCTCCTAGGATTTGCCTGAACAGAGGGTATGGCTCCCCCAAAGGTATTTCAGGTTTGTCTTGTGGCTCTCGGATCCCTCCCTCCCATCCCAAGGCACTCCACATACAGCTGAAGCTCAAAAGCAGCCTTTCGTGCAGGGCAAGGGTGGCTCATGCCTGTAATCTCAGCACTTTGGGAGGCAGAGATGAAAGGATTGCCTGAGCTCACTGGTTCAAGACCAGCCTGGGCAACATGATGAGACCTTGTCTCAGCAATAAATCAAAAAATTAGCCGGTCGTGGTGGCACATGCCTGTAGTTCCAGCTACTTGGAAACTGAAGCGGAAGGATCGCCTGAACCCAGTGGGTGGAGGCTGCGGTGGCGCTGAGCGGCCACTGCACTCCAGCCTGGGTGACAGAGTGAAACTCCAACTCAAAAAAAAAAAGTAGCCTTTCAGTCTTCCCACAAAACGTTTAGAATAGACAACAGCACCTGGCACGTGGTAAGCGCTACAAGTGGTCGTCATGGTGGTGGTGATCATCACTTGTTGAAAGACCGTGGCCATTCCCACGCGGCCCAAAGCCCCTTCCCTGGATGGCGGTAACTCCGGTCAGGAGGGCTGTATCCCGGGCGGATCCAGACAGCGAGGAGGTCTGGGGAATCTCTGACCCCGACCCTCGTCCGGCAGGCTCAGACTAGCGCTTCCAAGGGTATTAGTGGAGGGCGCGGCCTGCAGAGGGCTGGACAGTGGGGCAACCTCCCGGGCCGCCCTAACCTTAGGCTCCTCCTCCTGCCAGGCTCCCCGCCCTTTGCACCGTCTCGGGAGAGGCGGGGCGGCGGTCCCTTGCAGCAAAGTGCAGGAAGCCGGGCGGCTGCCGCCCGGAGGAGGAGAAAGAGGAGGAGCGTGCAGACTTGGGTGGTTATGAGCGGCGGGGACCAGATCTGTAGACTTCCCCCAGTAGTACCCCGCCGCTCCGCCCCGGAGTGACGCCCTCTGCCCATGGGCCTGGCCGGAGGCAACCGGCGGGCGGCGCGGAGGAGGCGGCGACAGGTGGCACGCAGCAGAGCCGGAGCCGGGCCCGGCCATGGCCGCCTCGGAGCGGCTCTACGAGTTGTGGCTGCTCTACCACGCGCAGGTGAGCCCGCCCCGCCCCGCGCCCGCTGTGCCCCCAGCTTCGCGCGCCCGGCGCCTGCTGCACCTGCGCCCCGCGCCGTCGGAGCCGCGTAGATGCTCATGCGCGCGCGGCGCGTTCTCCGGCTCTGCACACACGTGTGTACCCCCATCCGCCAGGTGCCTCTGGCACTTATACCCGGGGGACAGAGCTCGTGGGCACGCACTTCACGGCAACCCCTCTAGCGGGACTGTGCAGCCTGTCTGGTGGGAGGACCGTGGTCTGGGCCGAGGCGGCCGGACACTTCGCCCTCTTACAGATGGGGAAACTGAGTCTCAGGAGAACTGGAGATTGACCGGATCAGAAGGGGGAGGCGGATTCAGTTTGCATGTGTGCTGCCCCTCCCCTGGGCGCGGCCCGGTTGGTGGTCGTGGCCAACAGTTCCGAGTGGGCTGGAGGTGTGGGCAGGTGTGGGGAGCTGTGGGGCAGAATGCTGTCAACTCAGGTGGTCTTGAGCCAGACCACCTCTCCCTACCCCTAGAGAACAGGCTTCGAGACGCTCCTACCAGACTTGAGACGGCCCCACCCCACCCCCATTCCGGGAGGGTAGACCCTGGACCTCTCTAGAAGCTGAAAAAAAAGTTTTGCCTTGGAAGTGGGCAGAGGTTAGGGGAGACTCTGAGGCCAGGAGAGGTGTCTAAAAATCATAGAGGGAGGCCCTTTTCTCCCAAGCTCCCCACTCCTGTTTCAGAGAATACCTGAATACCTCAGGTGGCCTCAGAAGGTGAGGGGAATGACTCCATTCCTGGTGTCCCATCGACTGATAACCTGATGTCTCCCAGACTCTGTCTCACATACATAGGCCCCCACTTTCCTTCTGCACTGACACCAGGAGGGATCCCAGGGTGACACCTCCCTTTCACCCAGCACCTCCCTCCCTGCACCTGACTGGCATCAGGCTCCTGGCTCAGGTGTGCCCTGGGCACAATGGACCATTGTGTGCCCCTGAACTGAGGGGAAGTTCATGCTCAGACTAGCTGGCCTTCTGTGAAGAGGCTGACTGTCTCCCAGGGACCTGACGTCCAGGCCAGAAGGGCCACAGCCTCTTCAGTCTGCTCGGGTTGTGAGAGGCCCAGGCCCCCAGCAGGAGGCAGTGCATGGAGTAGAGTCCCTTTTTGGAGTGATGCAGACCAAACTAGTTTCGAGCCTCTGCTTCTCTGCCCGTAAAACTGACACAGCCCTAACCTCAGGGGCTTCCTGGACTCTGCAGAGGGGCAGCCACTATCGCTGCTCCAGACCAGAGAAAGCTCCACTTTTCCGGCCCCACTGGGTCCCCTCGCCTCAGTATCTGTCTCCATCTCCAATGGTTGGTCTTTGTGACAAAGCATTTGGTCTGAAGAAAACTACCCCTGGCTCTTCCACTTCTGATTGCCCCCTTGCTATAGACAGGTTCTTGGTCTGTGTGGTCACAGTAAAGGGTAAAGGTAAAGGGGGATCAGATGATGAGTTTGAGGGATGTTACTGATAGATCTTCAGTCTAGGTGCTGGGGATGTCTACCAGGACCATACCTCCAGCACGGTTGCCTCCTGATGCCCTCTCTAGTTGAGTTCTGCACATGGTCACAGCCCCACCCGCTCAGGAGGTGTTAGTCTCCCCCTTGCCCCTCACTTCACAGAGCAAGTGTGGGGCACAGGCTGGATGGTTGTGGTTTTGGAAGCCTGGGCAGGCAGGGGGCAGCCTGGGGCCAAGCAAACAAATCCAGGATGTGAGAGCAAACCCAGGAGCCTGGTGGGTGGGGTCAGGCCGCCTGGGGAGAGGAAGCGTGGGCCAGCCTCCCAGCTCTGCCTTCCTGCCCGCCTGCTCCCGGAACACCGTCCCCACCCCTTGTGCTAGGCTCCCAGGGAGGGGTAAGTGCTATGCAACTTTGAGCCTGCCAGGGACCTATTGTGTGTGTGCTTGGGGAGAGTGTTAAGAGACCCCTGAGTTGGCCAACCACCCAGCCAGCAACACCTGCGCCCCTCCCTTCAGCAGTGAAAGCTGACATCAGCTGGCAAACCTGTTTCCCCAGTTGTGAGTCTGGGTGGGGACAGAAGGACGAACATCCCTCTTCCTGCCTTCATCTCCCCTTAAAGACCCCATGTTTAGACCCATCAGCCTCTCCCCCTCCCCTTTCGGGCTAGACTGGGGGGTCACAAGTAAGGATGGGATCTGTAGGTGGCTGGGGGGAGCAGGGAGGGCTGGAGTGTCTCAGGACATCACTTAACTGGAGATCCTCAGGGTCCTTGTGGGGCAACTAAGGCAGGATCTACCAAGGTTGTTCGACCTCTTAGTAGGTGCTCTTTGGATATTAGCTGAATGTCCGCATAGAGGAAATGGGCCCCACAGTAGTGACCAATCAAGGAAGTCACCCCCAGGGGACTGAGTTTGGGTCTTGAGGGCTGAAGGGACAAGAATAGCAGGAGCAAGCACATGGCAGTAAGAAATACCACTGGGCGTAGTGGCTCAAGCCTGTAATCCCAGCACTTTAGGAGGTGGAGGCAAGAGGATTCCCTGAGTCCAGGGATTTGAAACTAGCCTGGACAACTTGGCAAGACTTCGTCTCTACAATAAATCAAAAAATTAGCTGGGTGTGGTGGTGCACACCTGTGGTTCCATCTGCATGGAAGGCTGAGACAAAGGATTACCTGAGCCCAGCAGGTCGGGGCTGCGGTACCCATTAGCGTGCCATTGCACTCCAGCCTGGGCGACAGAGTGAGACTCTGACTCAAACAACAACAACAACAACAAACAACAACAACAAATTACCTAAGGGGGTGGGACTGAGGTGGGACTGAGGAGAAGAGCACCCAACCCAGGGTTTGGGGGGAGGAGAGACTGATAATCCCTGGAGTTGTTATGGCAACTAGGGAGTTGATGGGGAATTGTGAGGTCCTCATGGAAATGGAGTTAGTTATTATGGGACCCTGGAAGGAAATTCCCGATTTCCATAGTGATAGAACTGGTTAAGCCCTGGGGGTGTACTGGAAACCTTTCAGTACCCCTAGGTAAGGGGGAGAGCCTGGCCAACCACCCAGGCACTCTGCTCTGACTTATAGTCCTCGTGATGTAGCCAGAAGTCTCCTTTGGTTTGATAGTGCCATCTCCTTTCTGATGCTGAGTGGAGAGATCCCCTAAGCCTAAAAGAGATCATTCTGACGAGACACCACTCAACCCTGTCCCATTTCTGCTTGTCTGTCCTTGGAGGCAGGGTGCTTGCTACCACTCAGACAGCTCTGAATGAGAGGAGTCACCCACTCTTGAGCTGCTACCTTTTTTTTTTTTTTTTTTTGAGTCGGAGTCTAACTCACAGCCACCGCAACCTCGTCTTGCTGAGTTCAGGTGATTCTTCCACCTCAGCCTTTCAAGTAGCTGGAACTACAGGCATGCACCACCACACCTGGCTAATCTTTTATTTATTTATTGTAGAGATGAGGTCTCACCAAGTTGCCCAGTCTGGTCTCGAACCCCTGGACTCAGGCAGTCCTCTCGCCTCCACCTCCCAAAGTGCTGGGATTACAGGCATGAGCCACTGCACCCAGCTCTTTTTTTTGAGTTGGAGTGTTACACTGTTGTCCAGGCTAGAGTGCAGTGGCATGCTCACGGCCACTGCAGCCTCGACCTGCTAGGCTGAGGCGAGGATCCTTCTGCCTCAGCCTTACAAGTAGCTGGAGCTATAGATGCACACCATCACACCTGGCTAATTTTTTATTTATTGTACAGATGCCAAATTGCCCAGGCTGGCCATGAACCCCTGGGCTCAGTCAGTCTTCTTGCCTCCACCTCCCAAAGTGCTGGGATTACAGATGTGAATCACTGCACCTGGCTGAGCTGCGCCCTTCTTTCCCTACCTATTCCTAGCTCTTCCCTAGGGCCCACTAACCTAACATACTTCATTCCACCTGCCTGGGGCAGCCAGCTGAGGAGTGGAAAGGAGACCTCAGCTCTGTCAATCAGCCAAGGTCTGCCTCTTACATGTCACTCCTAGAGGAGACTGGGGAGCGTTGCCTTGGAATGCCAGGAACTTAGGGCAAGACAGAGCCCCTGGATTTGGAGCTCTACTGACCTCACTCTGACCCCAAGTCGGGATGTGTGATTGGAGAGCTTTTTTTTTTTTTCTTGAGTCAGAGTCTCACTCTGTCACCTAGACTGGAGGACAGTGGCATGCTCACGGACACCACAGCCTCGACCTGCTGGGCTCAGGCAATCTTTCGGTCTCAGCTTTCCAAGTAGCTGGAACTACAGCACATGCTACCACGCCCGGCTAATTTTTTGATTTACTGTAGAAATGAGGTCTCGCCGAGGAGCCCAGGCTGGTCTCTAACCCTTGGGCTCAGGCAATCCTCTCGCCTCGGTATCCCAAGTGCTGGGATTACAGGCATGAGCCACTCCACCTGGCCACTGGAGAGCTTTTGCCCGCTAAGCAATGGGATGCTTTGCAAGAGGTTAATGTGGTTAATATTAAATAACAAGCTGTCAAGTGTTCGAATGGAGACTGGACTCCAGAACTATGCCTCAATCACTGATTCCCTTGGTAAGAGGTAGCAGACAAGGGTTGGTCTTAGAAAGGGTACTGGCCCTGATGAGAGATATCGCAGCAGAGGAAACATGGAGAGCAAGGCACAGGTAGTCCTGTGGAGTGGGGGCCATAAGTGGTGCTGGACTGGGGCTTCCAGGGTCTTTGGGCTGTGCAGGCTGGAGATGAGGTGGGAACCACCCAGGCAGGGCCTCAGATGTGGAGGAGCTTGTGACAGGGCGGTAACTGGCTGATCGGGCAGTGATGGTGACTGATGTCTACTGGAGGTCCACTGTAGGCTGAACTGGGGTACATCAGGCAGGGTCTGAGAACAGCATGGTGTCAGGCAGCTTAGTGGTCCCTGACTCCCTGCAGATAGTCCTCCCCATGCTTTAGCTCCCTGCCCTCAGCCCTCAGGGTTCCAGGGGAGTGGCAGTTCCATGCCTACCCATGGACTGTTTGAGCCTAATCAGTCCTCGGGAGCCCCTTGTCTCCAGCACTCTTGAACACCCTCATGGCTGGTCAGGCATAAATTGGGGTCCTTACAGGGATGACTATGAGATCCACTCCTCCCAGGGATACTGACCTACCCCATTCTCACAGCCTTCTCCCCTGCCGCAGGGCCTGGGCACCACTTACCTGTGGTCAGGGCTTCCTTGAGGCCTCCCAGGGAGAAAAGGTGAGACCCAGAGAGACAGACAGGCGGCTACCCCCACCCCTACCTAGTACTGTGCTTCAGAGACCTCCTCCTGGTCCCTCCAGAGCCCATGAAAGTTGCCTTGATTGCTCAGCCCTGAACCGAGCTCTGCTGAAAATTTGCAGGGCTGCATAGGCCAAAGGTGTTGTTCTAGGGACAGAAAGCAGGAGTGGCCAGAGTTTGAGGGACACATCTCCATTCTTGGAGGGCTGATTCAGGTGATAGCCACGAGGAGGTGGCAAGTTCCTGTTTTAAGTACCCAAAACCAAAATACTCACAGGAGGCGCTAGAGTGTGGGGTGGGCAGAGGTGTGGACTGAAGGATGTGAATCACAGATGGGGAGGGGCGGAGACTGGGGAAGCAGGTCCTGGTTGGAACAGGGGCCTGGAATGCTAGGCTCAGCAGTTGAGCCTTTGTGGGGAAGGGGTAGACATGGGCAAATTTGGGTTTTCAGGTACTCAGCAGAGCTGCAGTGGGCAGAAAGGACCCAGTGGCTGGACTGAGGGTAGAAGAGGGAAAGACAGTGTTGGGACATTTTTGAAGGCAGATGGGGTCTCTGGGCCACTAAGACAGGGGCCAGGGATCACAGTCAGCTTGGGCTGGCTAGCTAGCAACCAGGAGTGGTCCTAGCCTAGTATTAAAATCTGGCTTTCAGCATCCTCAAAGGAACAGCTGAGGCTGAGGTAGTGGATGAGACATCCCCTGTAGGGCCTCCCATTTTCCCCTCTGTAATGGGAATGCATCAGAAGAGATGGTCTGGGAGCCCTCGCCTCCTCTACTGTTTCAGGACCTGGGCATCTTAGAATTTGATCTCCTTGCTGGTTGGTGGGGCCAGAGGCTGCTAGCAGCAGAGGGCATAGAGAGTCAACAAATGCACTTGACAGACAAGAAGTCACAATGGTGTGAACCTGTGCCTGGGTGACCCTGGCCCCTCTCTGAGTTACCTGAGCTTCAGATCTATGCCAGAATGCACAAGGAAGGTCCCCAGTCATAGGGTGGGTGGCCACTTGGCCTAGATTTTTTGTGAGTCTAGCCAAGGTCTGCTGGAGCCAGGCCCCCTTCTCTGGGACCTATTCAGGTCTAGGTCTGGGGTCCACAGACAGCAAAAACTTAGCCATCCATCTAAAGATAGCTCTGGAGGTGCTTGGATATGAGGTCTGAGGCTGAGGGGTGCAGCCTCAGTCCTGCTGGGTGCTGACCACGATGTGTTCCTTCCCTCTTCATCCTTCTCCACTCTAGTCCCTGCCCTACCTCTCTGAGAAAGTTGCCTCTGGGCTGAACTGGTTGGGAGCCCCAGGTGGGGCCTACCTGGAGGGAAGGAGGAAGGGGAGGAGCTCTCATACAGGCCATGACCTACCATCATGCGCAGGGAGGGGTTTAGCGGTTAGGACATACATGGCCAGGCTAGGACTGGCTAGAGACCTTGCAGGGTCTAGATGGAGTGGTCAGAACACAGTGGTGGAGGTGTAGGGGCAAAGGTTTGGGTGAGTCTTCCACATCTCCTGGCCCTGAGGCCTTGAACCCAAGCCAGGGAGCTGTAGGTCCCTTGAATGAAGGGGCAGCAGCAGCAGGGATCACAACCCCTCCTAGATATGAGCTCTTCCAGGCCCAGATCTCCTGCCTGTAAAATTTCTCTCTGGCCCACAAGCCCCACCCAGCGCAGGTGACCCCGCCCCTCTGTGCTCCAAGCCCCTCCTCCAGCATGGGTCAGGTCCTTCACAGCCTCTCTCTCTGGGCCCTAGGTGCCCGGGCCCCCCCACATCCCTGCGGTCTGCCGGGAGGAAGCGGCCCCCCTCCCCCACCGTGACTCTGCGCTTCCTGCCCCAGCCCGGGGTGGGAGGAGACGTTTCCCGTTCACACTAAAGTTTCCCTGGCGGCGCCCAGACCTGGGCTCAGCCACTGCCCCTCTTGCCCATGGAACCAGCTCTGGGGCTTGGGGTCCAGGTAACCAGCGAGGGGAGGAGGAGGTTCCTGGGGAAAGGCAGGGCGTTCTGCCATCTGTAATATGGGAATGTGCGTGTCTGGGTCTGCCTGTCTGATGGTGCACATGCATCCAGAGATCCACTGTCAAGGAAGGTTTCCTGGAGGTGGTGGCTGCTGAGCTGGGAGAAGGTGGCAAATGAAGACCCAGCCCCAGGTTCTGGGTAGGAGGCAGCTGCTGTGTGGGAGAGCTTCTCTAGCCCCAGTGTGGGCCACAGCCACACCCCACTTTAGCTCCTCCTCTGTGTTAGAACTGCCTAGGTCAGGCCTGCCTGGGCTCACAGGGGTTAGGGAGATGGGAACAGAGACCAGAAGGCTGAGAGAGGAGATGAGGGGCCTGGAAGAGTGGTCAGTAGGTACTGCAGTCTTCTGATGCAATCCTCCAACTTCCTACCCTCCTTCCTCACTCCCTCCCTGCCCACTGCTCTGCCTTTGATCCCCCCTTCATTCCCCCTCCACCTCTGTCTGCATCTCCTTGCCCCTCCCCCATTTGCTGCACCCCTTCTGTCCCCTACCACCATTTCCCTGAACACCTATACCTGCAGAAGGACCAGGGCTACCTGCAGCAGTGGCTGAAGGCCTTTGTAGGCGCCTTCGAGAAGAGCATCTCGCTGTCCTCCTTGGAGCCACGGAGGTGAGGCTGGGTCTGCACAGAGGGCAGGGCCAGGGAAGGGAGACTGAGGGATGACCCAGTGACTCTTTGCAGGCCAGAGGAGGCAGGTGCAGAAGTACCGCTGCTGCCACTGGATGCACTGCACGTTCTGGCCGAGCAACTGCACAAGGCGGACCTGGAGCAAGCCCTGCTGCTGCTCAAGCTCTTCATCATTCTTTGCAGGTGGTCCCCAATGTCCACCCCATGGGCAAGGGCAGGGAATGATGGGCCGGCTGTGGGGTGTGGTGCGTGACTGTGATCTCTCCCATCATTGACTCCCCCAGGAACCTGGAGAATGTAGAGGCAGAGCGGGGCCAGGTGCTAGTGCCCCGGGTGCTGGCACTGTTGACTGGGGTGGTGGCCGAGGTGAGGTGGGCTCTACCTGGGGGATGAGGGGGTGGATGGGGGAAGCCAGGCAGTAGCCATGGCAGGGCTGACCCGTTACCCTTCCACCCTCTCTCCCTACACCTGCAGCTGAAAGGACACCTGCCACCACAGGAAGGCAATGGGTCACAGCTGGAGAATGTGGCCCTACATGCCCTGCTTCTCTGTGAGGGCCTTTTTGACCCCTACCAGACCTGGCGGCGCCAGCACAGTGGGTGAGTCCCAGCCCACAGGCAGGGGACCCAGAGAAGGCTGGGAAGAGGATGGGGGTGTTGTGCCATAGCACAGGTATGGAGGGGACCAAGGAGGGGTGAGACCCGGGCTGATGTGCCTGGCCTTACCCTACAGGGAAGTCATCAGCTCCAAGGAGAAGAGCAAGTACAAGTTCCCTCCTGCTGCTTTGTCCTGTGAATTCAGCGCCTTCTTCAGAGGTCAGGCCTGCCCTTTGTCCCACTTGGCACTACTGGCCCCACCCCCAAACCTAGGCCCCTTCCTGCAGACCCTGATCCCATACACAGGACAGGAACCACTTAGTGGTGGCTGCACACAGGCCTGGGAGGGTGGGAGGGAGGGTTGAGGGGACCTCCAAAGGCCAAGCAGGAATTTAGGGACAGAGAAAGGACAGTATGCCCGGGCAAAATGAGTAATTTCTTTCTTGGACTGGAGTTAAGGCCTCTCGTCAGGTGGAGGGGTTGACCTATCCACCTAGATTTCGTCCTCCTTCCGTCCAGTTTGTCCTCCCAGCCACTTGTAGCCTGCTCTGATCTGGACCACTTTGTCACTCCCTGGTCTAATCCCTTTGTCCCTGTGGCCTCCATCCCATCTCCACTCCTTCTCAAAACACTGGCCACACTAGGTGTTTTCACCTCCTCACTCCTGAATGATGAGTGAGACCTGATGCCCAGGACACCTCTGGCCACCTGTTCTCCCTAGTGACCTTCCTCTCTCGGGTCCCCTTTCCTCTCATTGGAGGGAGACTGGCAGGACTTGGGATGTACTCAGGGTGGGGTGTGGCCTGGACCAGGTATACAGGACTGTGGGAAGGTAGTGGCCTATTGGGATATACAGTGTCTCTGTGATGCCCAGTGGGCTGCGAGCTGGGGTCTGGAGTGGAGGCAGCAGCTCCAGCAGGAGGGGTGGCATCCTCAGGAACCTCCCTGCCTCGATTCTCTTATAGCCTGGGTGCTCTTCTTAACACAAACTGGATTTTTCCCCCTCTCATTGTAATTCCCTCAATGGTGTCCTGATACCCTCAAGTTCAAATCCCACTCCTCCCACAGCCTTTCTCTCCAGCCTTACTTGCTCTCTGCTCCCACCATGCTCCTGTCTCTCATTCCTGGAATGCTACTAGTAACCCCGCTCAGGGTCTTTGCACATGCTCTGTCCCCTCCCTTCACAGGTCAAAATCATTCTCAAGCCTCACCTCAAAAACCCCATCCCCAGGAAAGCCTTGCACTCCATCCCACCAGAATCAAGCCAGCCCTACTCTTTCCCATCCCTCACCCGTGTGACCCAGGGCTGGTCCCTTCTGCCCTCTGAGTTTCAGTCCATGGCCTGGCATCCTGTCCGGCTTTGCTGGAGCAAGGCCAGGTGGGCCTCCCACATAGGAGGCTGTGAAAGCCCCTAGAAGTCCCCAGCGAAGGCCAGGTGGTGGGAGGTGGCATCAGTGTAGTAGATATAGCAGGGTCCCTAGAGCAGGATATGGGGAGCTTCAACCGTCACAGGGCAGAGGGAGCAGGAGATTTGCATCTGAGAAACTAAGCTCTGGTCACCATGGGGAAGTGGAGAGGGGATGTGCTCACCCTGGGGCTCCCACTTCAGAGTTTAAGGATCTGGGGAGCCGGCTAGGCTCTCTGGGCAGGGTTGAGTTCTCCTCAAGCCCCCCAAAGATGGTCTGTGCTCTTTTCAGCCCTAGAACAGAGCCATGATGGCTTAGCCCCCCAGGGCAGTACCAGGTCTTTTTCCTTAGATTGGGTCTTTTACTTGGCCCAGTCCCTCTCCCCTCCACCCCAGAGCACTCACCTCTTATGCAGTCCCCTGGGTCCACAGCCCTGCAACCTTAGTGACATTGTCCTGCCCTCCCCACCATCCCCTTATCCAGAAAGTCTGCAGGATGCAGATCGCTTGCCTCCCATGCTGCTGTTGCGTCTCATTCACCTCTTTGGCGCTGTCCTTGCAGGAGGAAAGGTAGGCAGGGAGGTGAGCAGGTGGGCTGGAGACCGGCTGCCTCAGGGTCTCTCTGCTGGGTGAGCCCCTTGCCTACTACTCATCTCTGCCCACACCTGCAGGAGAATGGGCAGATGGCTCTGAGTGATGGCTCTGTTCAGGGCCTGCTGGGTGTGGTGCAGGGCTGGGGCCGTGGGCCAGCCCAGGACTCCCGCCTGGTGCCGTTGGCGCTGGAGGCACTGGTGGGTGCAGTCCATGTCCTACATGCCAGCCGTGCACCCCCCCGGGGTCCGGAGCTTCGTGCCCTGCTTGAGAGCTACTTCCGTGTCCTCAATGCCGACTGTCCGGCTGGTCCAAGCTCAGGCCCTGAAGAGGCTCTTGTCACCCTGCGGGTCAGCATGCTCGGTGGGTATGGGCTCCCAGTCTCTTGGGGAGGAGGTACCATGAGGAGAAGGCCTAAGTGATGATGAGAAGGGTGGACCGGGCAGCATGGGAAAGAAGGTTTAAGGGTACTGGGAGGGAGCTGGGCAGGGCCTGACCCTTGGCCCTTCCACAGACGCCATCCCTATGATGCTGGCATGTGAGGACCGGCCAGTGCTACAAGCCACCTTCCTCAGCAACAATTGCTTTGAACATCTCACTCGCCTCATCCAGAACAGCAAGGTGGGCAGGGCCTGAGGGCGGAAGGCTTAGAACCTAAAGGCTAGGGGAACACATGTAGGTGCTGAACAAACTTGAACTGGGCCAGGCTAGCAGTTTGCAGCAGATGGGATGACCTATAATTCAGTGGGAGGGTCTGGGGCATGGATAAGGGTCCGTCTCCTGGGACCTCTATAGGGCTGAGTCTGAGGCTCAGGATGGGTCTGCAACCACTGGCGCAGGGGCTTGTTACGGAAGGAAGGGAGATGCTCTGGCCCCTTGTTTCCCTTTCCCTGGCCCCAAGTCCAGGGGCTGGAGGAGCTGCCTTCAGATGCAGTGCCTGTGCCCATCCACTCATCCAGCTCCTAATTACCCTTCTGAGCAGGACATGGGTGGCTCAACACCCTTACCCTTCCTGAGTGCCCAGTGGAGCACTTGACCTAGGACTCAGGGTACATACATCCCTCGGGGGCAGAGCCCTGGCAGCTGCCCCTGGTCTTGCTCTAACTCTGTCCTCCTCCATCTTCCTCCTTTCTCTTCTTTGCCTCCTCTATTCTGTGCCTCCCCCTTCCCCACAGCTTTACCTGCAGACCCGGGCGCCCCCTGAGGGGGACAGTGACCTGGCTACCCGGTTACTGACTGAGCCCGATGTTGAGAAGGTACCACTCTGGGGCTGACGAACTCAGGCACCCACTTCCCTGGGCATCTGCCCCCTGAGACTCCCTCTTTGAGCTTTTCCTACACTATAGCGGGGGCACAAACAGATGTATGGAAGCCTGGTGTGGCCTGGCGATGGACCTGGATCTGCCATGCTGTCTTGCCCATCTCCCCGTCCTAGGAAACGGGGCAGGAGGCAGTCTATTCTCTGCCTGGTGTTAGTATTGGGAGCTGGGATTTGGCTGCGCCAAGCCAGAAGGAACCTTCGAAACTCTCGACCACCCACCCCCATTTCTTAGAAGGAGAAACAGAAACCCAGACACTCAAAGATTTGGCTGTAGTCACTCCTAGAGGAGGGGATCTCCCACATGGGGCCACTTCTTTGCATGGATCCTTGCACCCACCCTAAGCAGGTCACTGGGAGTCCCCCAGCCCATGATGTGCTCCCTGCCTCACCTTGCGTTGGGCACCCTTTTGGAGACTCAGCCTCTAGGCTCCAACCCCCAGACCCTGGCCTTGTCTTCCTGAGGCAGCTGCGTGTGTCCATTGCACGTGGTCATTTTCTGAGAGCCTGTGTATCCACTCATCTACAAAGTAGGCAGGCAAAGTGACCTTTTGTTTTTACAGATAAGGAAACTGAGGCCTGGGGAGGGGAGGTTACCTGAGGTCACTTGGGGAGTCAGACACTGCTGGGACCAAAGACCCCATGGCCTAGATACGGCCTAGAACCTGCCAACAAACTCTCTAAGCCTTTCCAACCCCTCACCCTCTCCGGGTGGGGCAGGAGGAGTGAGTACCTTGTCTCAGGCTGAGCCTCAATCTAGAGGGCAGGGGGCAGGGTAGGACTTAAAGGTCTCGAAGGTTCTTCTGGTTCTAACATCCTGGTGATTGATTGTCCCTGAATTCCCTATCCCCCTATTAATCACATGGGTGATGGGGCACTTGCTGGCCTGCCTGCACATGTCAATCTAGCTTGGGTGGGGATGGGGGGGCTGGGGCCCTCAGTCTACCAGAGAAGGGAGAAGTGAGGGGAGGGTACCATGAGAGTGTACCCTGTTGATCTGTCCCAGTGAGGCTCTTCCAGCTTGGTTTCTTTCCAGGCCTCTCTATCAGAGTGGGCCTTGCTGAGCTGCTCAGGGAAGGCCCCACAGCAGGTGGGGCAAGGAGTAGAGGGCCTGGTGCCTGACCAGGTTGCTGATCTAGCACATGCCACATGCCTTGGGGTGCTTGGCCCTGTGCCTCTTTTACTGCAGGGGGCTGCCAGCTGTGACACCCTGGCCCCTGCCTCTCCTGATGGCCCCTCCCCACCCCAAGGTCCTGGACCAAGACACAGATGCCATTGCTGTCCATGTAGTCAGAGTGTTGACCTGCATCATGAGTGGCTCCCCCTCGGCCAAGGTGAGGATGCCGCAGGGATATGAGGTGGAGTTTAATTGACCAGAGCAGGCCTGGTTGATGGCTGGAAGAATCCTGCTCCCTGGAGCAAAGCAAGTGAGCTTGGGAGGTGACTGCCCTGCCCTCTGGGCAGGTTGCTCATCAGTCTGTCCTGGGAGCTGGATATCCTGGGTCAGTGCTGGATGGGGGAAGGATATTTGTGGGCTGACCAGCACCTACAGCCTTCTGAGGTGGACCCATGTACCCCCATCCCTCTTAAGTCCCCCACCCCCACCCCACCAGCACTGTGACCCAGGGCAGAGCCAAGCAAGGGGACCCCAAAAGCTGATGCCCCTCCAGGGTTTCCATGGGATGTGAGTTTGCTCTGGGACCCAGGTATGTGCTCACTTTCTCCCCACACCACCTTATGTTACACAGGAGGTGTTCAAGGAGCGAATTGGCTACCCTCACCTGCAGGAGGTTCTGCAGAGCCATGGTCCCCCCACCCATCGGCTGTTGCAAGAGCTGCTCAACATGGTGAGGGCAGGGGCTGGGGACCTGGGCACCCAAGACTGAGTCAGGGTTAGCACGGATGGTGAGCTCTCCGCCCTGGGGGGCTGAATTGACTGTGGCCAGTACTTAGGCTGGCCTGTGGCCTGTGGCCTGGCCTTGGGTATCAGTCACTGGGATGAGGCTTCTGGATCAGCCTAATAACATGCGTTTGGGGGTTAAGCCAACCACAGCTGAAAACCAAGGCTTGAGGACTTACAGTGCTGAAGGACCATTAGTAATAGTGATGGTCATTGTGTCCCTCTGACTTTGCTGAGCCTCACACACAATCTGTGGGCAGGATGGGGTAGCCTATGTTGCTTTCCCCTGCTGTAGGACAGTAAATGGAGCCAGGAAGTTCAACTGTTGGTGGGGTGCCACAGCTGACTGGGGACTGTCACGTTCTCTCCACCACAGGCTGTGGAGGGTGACCACAGCATGTGTCCCCCTCCACCAATCTGCAACGAGCAGCCGGTGCTGGTGCTGATGCAGTGGCTGCCAGCATTGCCCACGGCCAAGCTGCGGCTCTTTCTAGCACAACGCCTCTGGTGGGTCTGTGACAGCTGCCCTGCCAGCCGTACCACCTGTGTGCAGGCGGGCCTGGTGGGCTGCCTGTTGGAGACACTTAGCACGGGGCTATCCCTGGGGGCTCGTTGCCAAGAGCAGCTGCTGGCACTGCTGCAAGCACTGGGCCGTGTGTCACTAAGACCCTTGGAGCTGCGTCGCCTGCTGTGCCCCCCACCAGGGCTGGACCCGGGGCCAGGTGGAGCTGAGGATGGGAAGGCCCGACACGCAGGCGCCATCATTCGTGCATTGTCAGGCATGGCCAGGCACCAGGGCTCTGCACGCGCCCTGTGCTACTTTGACCTCACCCCCAGCATGGCGGGCATCATGGTACCCCCTGTGCAGCGATGGCCAGGACCTGGCTTCACCTTCCACGCCTGGCTCTGTCTGCACCCCCTGGATGCAGCACCTGCCCCAGCCCCCACCCGGCCACTCCAGCGAAAGCAACTGTACAGGTGGGTGACTGCCAGGGGTCAGGAGTCTCCTGCCAGGGTGAACAGGAACAGGCAGGTATAACTGGCCTGCCCACCCCCAGCTTCTTCACCAGCAGTGGCTCAGGGTTTGAGGCCTTCTTCACGGCAGCTGGGACCCTGGTGGTAGCTGTGTGTACACGGAAGGAGTACTTGACCATGAGCTTGCCTGAGGTGTCCTTTGCCGACTCTGCCTGGGTGAGCCCCCATTTTTCTTATGTGGCCCAGTGGAGTGGGGGTAGGGCGCCAAGTCCCAAGCATAGCCTGATGTTGTGGCTTCTATTCTAGCACTGTGTGGCTATAGTCCATGTGCCTGGACGCCGGCCCTTCAGCCAGAATCTGGTCCATGTCTACAAAGACGGCCATCTTGTCAAGACTGCACCCCTTCGCTGCCCCTCCCTCAGTGAGGTGCCAAGCAGGGTCTGGGGAGGCCTTGGGATAGGGGGACTTGGGACACAGTGGACAGGGTGGGACCTGGAGCCCTTGTGTCCTCCCCTATGGGCCTCAGACTTCAGGCTCTGGGGTCCATGCAGCCATGGGGGTCACTGTGAAGAACTGGATGCAGATGGAGCCCCTGGCTCTACTGTGACCTGACTGTTCCCCCAATCCTGGCTCCACAGCCTTTCTCCTCCTGCTGTATCGGCTCTGCTGGGCACCGCACAACGACCACTACTACGGGGCTGCCCATGCCACCAGTCCCTGCTGCCCTGGCTCACACACACCCTTCCCTCACCCGCTCCCAGTCAGTGCCGGCGTCCACAGGGCTTGGCTGGGCATCTGGGCTGGTGGCCCCCCTGCAGGAGGGCAGCATCAGCTCCACCCTTGCAGGCACCCAGGACACTCGGTGGGGCAGCCCTACATCCCTGGAGGGCGAGTTGGGGGCTGTGGCCATCTTTCACGAAGCCCTGCAGGCAACAGCTCTGAGGACCCTGTGCACCCTGGGTATGCTGCTCCATACACCTTGCCTTAGCCCCAGGCCAGAAACTAGGGGTCCAGCGGGGGTGGGGTGAGAGGCATCCCCGAGAGTCTTCCCGTCAGGCAGGGAAGACACAGTCTCTGAATGGGGTCTGGCTAGCGGCCCAGTAAGGTCTGAAGGCCCTGGTACTTCCCAGGGCCCAATGAGATGGCACCTTTCAAGCCTGAGGGTGAACTGCATGAACTCAGCACCAAGCTGCTCCTCCATTACTCACCTCAGGTATTTGGGGACCTGGGGTGGGGTTGGCTCAGCTGTGCTACCTCCCCCTGGCTCCACGCTTTGTCTGCCATCCCTCCTCTATCTGATCCTTGCTGCCTACTCATTCCGCTATCCCTAGGCCTATAAGAACAACATCTGCCTGGACCTATCCCCCAGCCGTGCGTTCGATGGCCGCCTGACGGGCCACAGGGTGGAGACCTGGGACGTGAAGGTTAGTGTACACGTGTGGGTGGTGTGTGCAGGAGGCATGAACATGGGGCACATGTGTACCAAGCCAGCTGGGGAGCAGCACTGTGCCCTGGGAGGGTTTTAGGAATCTAGATCAAGAGGACAAAAGTCACTGGATCCAAGTTTCCAGGCTAGACTGTCTGCTGGGGTGGAGCAGGCAGGAAGCTGGCTGGGAGGCACCTGTTCACCACCACCCTTCTGCCCCCAGGATGTGGTGAACTGTGTGGGGGGCATGGGTGCCCTGCTGCCACTGCTGGAGCAAGTGGCTGCACAGCCCCAAGAGGCCGAGGCAGGTCCAGCGGAAACATATGACCTCGTGGGACCTGAACTGACCTCTGGTCATAATACCCAGGGCCTGCTTCTCCCACTGGGGAAGTCTTCGGGTAAGTGTCCCCAGTGCCTGGGTTGTGGGGAGAGAATCTTGGCATGATGGGGGGTTGGAGTGCTTGAAGTCTCATGGCCACTGGCAGGCCCTTGACACACCTCTGTCCCCTTCCTGGTGGTTGGCAGAGGAACGGATGGAGAGGAACGCAGTGGCTGCTTTTCTGCTGATGCTGCGGAACTTTCTGCAGGGCCACGTGGTGAACCAGGAGAGCCTGGTGCAGTGCCAGGGACCTGCTATCATTGGGGCCCTCCTGCGAAAGGTGGGGCCCAGTGGAGTTCTGCCTGCCTGTCCAAGGGGACTGGGTGGGGGAACCTGATGCCCTGTCAGTCAAGGAGAACCTCTTGGTGAGGGGTGGTGCTTGAGTGGGACCTGAAATGCCAGGTAGGGTTGGGCCAAGAGGATCTGCCAGCACAGGGTAGGGTTGGGCCAAGGGCTGCCAACACAGGCTGGGGCAGGGGGGTTGCACAGTAGGCAGGAGCTTGCATGTCAGATAGCAGGGAACCACCGAGGGGTTTTGAGCAGGCAGGATGACCATGTTTGTGTCCGTCATGGTTGTGCAGGGAAGGGTAGAAGGTGAGAGACTCAGACAGCAGGTTTGCAGAGCCTGGTATCTCAGCCCAGCTTCTCTCCCACCCCAGGTCCCCAGCTGGGCCATGGACATGAACGTGCTCATGTCTGCCCAGCTGCTGATGGAGCAGGTGGCAGCTGAAAGCAGCTGGCCCCTCCTGTACCTGCTCTACCAGCATTTGCTCTTCAACTTTCACCTCTGGACCCTCAGCGACTTTGCTGTACGCCTCGGTAGGTGTGGGGACCTGGGTGAGGAGCTGGCCACAGAGCAGACAGACTGAGAAATTATAACCCTGCTCTGGGAGAATGTGTGGGGCATAGCTGACAGGAATCCAGCTTTGCCTGGGGGTATCTGAGGGAACTATGACCTTGCCCTGGGAAGTCTGGCAGGCGCATGGCCCATCCTGGAGGATCTGAAGGGACCCAGCTCAGCCGGGAGGCCTAAGTCCTCTGCTGATGCCCCCCCTCAGGCCACATTCAGTACATGTCTAGTATAGTTCGTGAGCACAGACAGAAGTTGCGGAAGAAGTACGGGGTCCAATTCATCCTGGATGCTCTGCGTATCCACTACAGGTGAGGCCGGTGTGGTCAGATGAGCAGTGGGGCTGACACAGTGGCACGCTCCCCCAGCTCACCTGCCCACTCCTCTGTCTCTCTTCCCTGAACCTGCTGGGTGTGCTGCTGGACCTGCCAGCCCACAGCGGGAGCGCCCCCTGGCTGCTGACGACCTACGCACGGTACAGACGTCCCTCCTGGGCCTGGCACGGGAGTTCCTCGTTCGGAGTCTCTCAGCTGATGACATCCAAGTCATGCAGGTCATGCTGAGCTTTTTGGCGGCCACGGGTGATGATAGCCAGGTAGACTGGAGGTTGTTGAGGGTGAGACTTTGGTGAGGGGGGTGTGGACCACGTGGGGGCCCAGCCCAATGCAAGACTCTGCTTCCACAGGTGGTGGGTGCCCTGGACCTGCTGCTGGCGCTGCTGCAGGGCTCCTCAGCACAGGAGTCCTTGGCTGTCTTTCTTTTGGAGCCGGGGAACCTCGAAGTGCTGCTAGCACTGCTGGTGCGGCCACAGTCACAGTCCCTGCTGCCTGACAGAGTCTGCAAGGTACACCCAGCCAGCCTCCCACTCCGGCATCCCGTTTGCTGGGGCCCTTGCCTGAGGTCCAGGAAGGTGCAATAGACCTTGGGCCAGCAGAGAAAGCTGTCTCACAGGCCTCTCCTCAAGACACATACCTGCACAGTGACCTCCCCTCCTATGGTAAGTCCTTCCCCATCATGACAGCCCCCAATGACCCCCCTGCAGATCCTGCGCAGGCTGCAGCAGAATGAGCGAGTACCTGAGCGGAGTCGCCAGCGACTGCGGCTGCGGGAGTGTGGCCTCCAGGGACTGGTTGCCTGCCTGCCTGAGGGGACTGTTTCTCTCCAGCTCTGCCAGGGCCTCTACAAGCTGTTCCTGGGGGCAGGTACAACCTAGTTGGGGCCTAGAGGCAGGCCACATGGAGGGAGTGACCTGTGTCAGGAAAACTGGGCAGGTGGGAAGAGGGCAGGTATTGGCATACGGGTCAGAGCTGGGTGCCCCCCCTCCTATAGGGTCAGTCACTCAGGTCTCCTCTGCCCATCCTCCCAGATTGCCTGAATCTCTCAGATCTGCTGGCTGTGGTACAGCTGTCCCTCCAGGCTGACCTCAGCGTTCGCCTGGACATCTGTCGCCAGGTAAGAGATGAAAGTTTTAGGGGGCAGCTTCTACTCTCTGGACTTGGCTTTGCCAGGCTATGATGAGGGGTCTCTGGAGGCCTCTACTGCAAAGGACCCAGGATGAGGGTCTGGAGACTGGCAGTTGGATGAGTCTCTCACTTGCTGTGCCCACAGCTCTTCCACCTCATCTACAGACAGCCAGACATAGTACGGCTGCTGGCCCGACAGGCTGGCTGGCAGGATGTGCTGACCCGTCTGTATGTCCTGGAGGCTGCCACCGCTGGAGGACCCTCACCCTATCCCCCAGAGCCACCCAACTCCCCAGAGTCAGCACTGCCCAAGCCACCCACTGAGTCACCTGCCGAGTCTTCAGATGTCTTCCTGCCCTCAGAGGCCCCCTGCCCTGACCCTGATGGCTTTTACCACGCTCTCTCCCCATTCTGCACTCCCTTTGATCTGGGCCTGGAACGGGCCAGCGTGGGTTCGGGCAACACTGCTGGTGGTGGTGGCAGCAGTGGGACTCTCACTCCAGCTAGCCAGCCTGGCACACCTTCCCCACTTGATGGGCCACGGCCTTTCCCTACTGCCCATGGCCACCACAGCTCCAGTCTCTCCAATGTGCTAGAAGATGGCAGCCTTCCAGAGCCCACTGTTAGTGGGGATGATGCCTCTAACACCAGCAACCCTCAGGTGAGATAGGCCCACTGTCTGCCACAGCATGGCCCTTAAGAGAGGACACCTCTGGTACACAGGGCCAGCAGGGTAGCCTTTCCAAAGGTGTGGCCATGTCTGACACCAGGGCTGCAGCCGTCAGTTAGGCCCATTGCTGGCCCCTTATAGCTCTCACCTGCCGTTGTGTTCCCAGGGGGGTCCTGGAATAGGGTGAGTGATATACAGCCAGACGGGGGGACGCCAGCCAGACTTCGTAACAGCCCTCAAGGAAGCCTGTAGACCTTTAGGGGCAAAGGGCAGCTTAGCTCCAAGGGTCCTGCCTTATGCTTCAGGGCTTGGGGATAGGCCTCTACACGTTCTGTGTGAACTTCCTCATTGCCTCTTGGGAGTCTGTTGAGGTCCCAGAATTTTCCCTGGGATTCTGGTAATGGTCAAGGTCCCCACACCACCCTTCCGGGACTTTGGTGCCACACTGACTGTTAGCTGAATGTTCTGCCTCCTGCTGTTCCTACTAGTGAATGGACAAGGGCTCTGAGCAGGTGGGGTCAGCCTGATTCCCCCTTCCCAGTCTTCAAGCCACATCACCCACCTGTGCCCATAGCAAACTTCTGAGGAAGAGTTGTGCAACCTACTCACCAACGTGCTGTTCTCTGTGACCTGGCGGGGCGTGGAAGGCAGTGATGAGGCTGCATGGCGGGAGCGTGGCCAGGTCTTCTCAGTGCTCACCCAGCTGGGGGCCTCGGCCACCCTTGTGCGCCCACCAGACTGCATCAAGCGCAGGTGAGAGGGCAATTCAGGAGGGAGAGGGTCTAAGGGAGCCTGGGGTGAGGAAGGCAGTCAGGTAGATACCTGAGTCCCTGGCCCACCCACAGCCTCCTGGAGATGATGCTGGAGTCAGCCCTGACTGACATTAAGGAAGCTCCCGCGGGGGTCCTAGCCAGCCTCACCCAGCAGGCGCTTTGGCTGCTGCGCCTGCTGCAGGACTTCCTGTGTGCTGAGGGCCATGGTAACCAGGAGCTGTGGAGTGAGAAGGTAGGACCACTCAGAGGGGCACAAGCATGTGCACACATGTATTTTTGCGAGCCTGCAGGCATCGGGTCTGGGAGGTGGATGGGAACAAGTGTGAAGTTGTGAGTACATAAGTGTAAATGCCTGTGAGCATGGACCTGTCTATGTGCACAAACTACCTGGCCCTCAGCCCAAACTCTACCTTGCTCCCTCCCCATGGAGTCCTGGCCTCATCTGGTAATGTATGTTGGGAATCTGTTGTGTGGCAGCTCTTTGAAGGTGTGTGCAGCCTGCTTGATCGCCTGGGAGCCTGGCCGCATCTGGCCAATGGCACAACTGATCTCCGTGAGATGGCACAGATTGGCCTTCGTCTTGTGCTTGGCTACATCCTACTGGAAGACCCACAGGTGAGCACAGGGGGTAGGCGTGGGGGAAGGAGGTATGGCAGGTGTAGGGAGCTCGGAGAGTGGCTGGGTGCCACCCACAGCCCTCTTGTGCCCACAGTTGCATGCCCAAGCCTATGTGAAGTTACACATGCTGCTGCAGACTGCAGTGCCACCCCGCCGCGAAGAGGCCTGCTATGTGCTCTCCAAGCTGGAGGCTGCACTGGGGCGAGCGCTGAACACCTCTTCCTCCCAGTCGGCCACTGATGATGCGGCGTCCGCACCTGCAGCCACAGCCGCTACAGAGCGCTGCTCGTGGCTGGTGCCGCTGGTGCGTACGCTGCTGGACCGTGCGTATGGGCCGCTGGGGCTGCAGTGGGGACTGCCCTCCCTGCCGCCCACCAACGGCAGCCCCACCTTCTTCGAGGACTTCCAGGCTTTTTGTGCCACACCCGAATGGCGCCACTTCATCGACAAACAGGTGCCTGGAGGGGGGGGAAGGGAGGGTGAGGAAGAGGAAGAGGAGTGAGGACTGGGGCCCTCTTCGAGCACTGGTCTTCCCCCTCTGCCCAATCCTCCAGGTGCAACCCACCATGTCCCAGTTCGAGATGGACACATACGCTAAAAGTCACGACCTCATGTCAGGCTTCTGGAATGCCTGCTATGACACACTCATGAGCAGTGGACAGCGGCGCCAACGCGAGCGTGCGCATAGTCGCCGGGCCTTCCAGGTGTGCCGCCTGTGGCGGGGGGTGGGGAGCTGCTCCACACGTGTGCCCAGGGGACGGCTGACAGGGCAAGGCGAGCAACAAGGGCAGGGCAGGCCGCAGCCGCAGGACTGACCCGTTCTCCCACCCCAGGAGCTGGTGCTGGAAACTGCACAGCGGCGGGCGCGCCTTGAGGGGCTGCGCTATGCAGCGGCGCTGAAGCAGCAGGCAGCACAGCACTCAACCGCCTTGCTGCACTGGGGGGCGCTGTGGCGCCAGCTCTCCAGCCCCTGCGGGGCCTGGGCACTGAGGTGGGCCGGGCTTGGGGCGGAGTCACGGTGGAGGGGCGGGGCTTGGGAGGGAAGGAGCGGCCTGGAGCCCGACCATCTTTGGAGTGGGGTCTTAGAGGGGGTGGGGGGAGAAGTCTAGAGCACTCTACCCACCTATGACCACCGATGGGGACATTCTACAGGGACCCTCCCACCCCACGCTGGAAACTGTCCAGTGCCGAGACATACTCGCGCATGCGTCTGAAGCTGGTGCCCAACCATCACTTTGACCCTCACCTAGAAGCCAGTGCCCTCCGCGACAACCTGGGTGAGAGAGTGCGCTGAACTGGGTCCACCCAACTCGTATATCCCGTCCTGCCTTGCTCTGGCTGAGTACCCTTGGTTCTTTGCAGGTGAGGTTCCCCTCACACCCACCGAGGAGGCCTCGCTGCCTCTGGCAGTGACCAAAGAGGCCAAAGTAAGCACCCCACCAGAGGAGCTGCAGGAGGACCCGCTAGGGGAGGACGACCTGGCTGCACTGGAGACTGCGTGAGTGGAGCCCTTGGAGAGATCCGACGGGAGTGGTGGGTCTGCTCCAGTGTGTGCACACCTACTATGGGTTCAGCTCCCTGGATCTGTCTTCATCTGCTTTCCAACTTCAGTCCCCTGAAGGGACTGTCCAAAATCATGGCAGGGGAAGGTGGGAGAGTCGCCTAACAGCATTGACAGCTGCTCTTCAGTAGCTAGGCACACCAGAATAGGACGGATAAATACAAATCAGAGTAGGATGGGGGCCCAGGGATTGGACAGGGGGTGGGTGAGGGGAAGTAGGGGACAGGGGTTGGTGAAAGTTCTGGCAAGCTGTTCATCCAGTGGGCGGGGGTGGGGAAGGACTGGGACCAGTGGGTGCCAAATTCCAGGCAGCTCCTCCCTGTCACTGGGACACTTGAACGTATGTACTTAATGACTTAATGGCAAAGAATGTGCCCCTTGGGCCCGGAGCGGCCACTGCGCTCCAGTCTGGGCGACAGAGTAAGACTCCAACTCAAAAAATAAATAAATAAATAAGGGGGTCTAGGTCCTGAAGTGGGTGCTGGTCTCTAGGATGGAGGCTGCAGAACTGGATGAGCAGCATGAGAAGCTGGTGCTGTCTGCTGAGTGCCAGTTGGTGACAGTAGTGGCCGTGGTCCCGGGGCTGCTGGAGATCACCACACAGCATGTGTACTTCTACGATGGCAGCACTGAGCGCGTGGAAACCGAAGAGGGTGCGTGCTGCTGGTATGGGCAGGGAATGACTGAGGTCTGGGTAGGGCTGGGGCGAGTAACTGCTGCACCCACTACTCATCCCCACAGGCATCGGCCATGACTTCCGGCGCCCACTGGCCCAGCTGCGTGAGGTCCACTTGCGGCGTTTCAACCTGCGCCGTTCGGCACTTGAGCTCTTCTTCATTGATCAGGCCAACTACTTCCTCAACTTCCCATGCAAGGTGGGCGGGACCACAGCCTCATCACCTGTCCAGGCTCCCAGGCCCCAACCCTCTTCCATCTCACCCGATACCCAGGTACGGAACAAGGCATACTCGTGGCTTCTGCGCCTGAGGCCCCCCACTCAAAGCTACCTAAGCAGCCACTCACCCCAGGAGATGCTTCATGCCTCAGGCCTTACCCAGGTGAGAGCCCTGGAGTGTGAGTGGTGGGGGGATGTGAGGTCAGAACCCTAAGGGTGGGGGCAGTGCTGCCAGCCCAACTGGCTCACCTCTTGCCTGCCCCTATCCCCAGAAATGGGTACAGCGTGAGATATCCAACTTTGAGTACTTGATGCAACTCAACACCATTGCGGGGCGGACCTACAATGACCTGTCTCAGTATCCTGTGGTGAGGGCCCCACTCTGCACACCTCCACCCTTGCCCCCCTGATCTGTCAGCCCTTGGTTCACCCAAGGGCAGGTGCCTGCCAGTGTGCCAAGCCCTGAGGCTGGTCCTGAGCAGGTGTCCCTCTGACTAAGACCTGGCCTCTGTTTCCTGCCATTGCCCCCAGACCCCCAGCCCTACTGCCCTCCCCTCCTGGCCTCTGTCCCAGGACAGTCTGTCCTGCTCCCCTGTGGCCCCTCCAAGTGTGCTTCCCCAACCTGTGGGCAGGCTCTGAGCCCATCTTCCTGAGGGAGGGCAGGGCAGGGTGGGCAGGCAGGCCATCAAGGTACTCATGTAACCCCTGCCCGGGTGGGTGGCCAGTTCCCCTGGGTCCTGCAGGACTATGTGTCCCCAACTCTGGACCTCAGCAACCCGGCCGTCTTCCGGGACCTGTCCAAGCCCATCGGTGTGGTGAACCCTAAGCATGCCCAGCTCGTGAGGGAGAAGTGAGCATGTGGGCAGGGCTGGCCTCAGAGGGGTGGGGATGGGCAAAGGGAAGACTTCTGCTGACTCTCCTTAACTGTGACCCCAGGTATGAGAGCTTCGAGGACCCGGCGGGCACCATTGACAAGTTCCACTATGGCACCCACTACTCCAACGCAGCGGGCGTAATGCACTACCTCATCCGCATGGAGCCCTTCACCTCCCTGCACGTCCAGCTGCAGAGTGGCCGGTGAGACCCAGGGGCTGGTGGGCAGATGGGGGGCAGATGAGGGGAGGAGGCTGGGCCCACCTTGGCTCCCTTCTTTCCTCAGCTACACCTTCTCCCTCCCTGTCTCCATTTCCTCCACCTCACTTTGCCCTGTGCCCTTTCCCCAGCTTTGACTGCTCTGACCGGCAGTTCCACTCAGTGGCAGCAGCCTGGCAGGCACGCCTGGAGAGCCTTGCTGATGTGAAGGAGCTCATCCCAGAGTTCTTCTACTTCCCTGACTTCCTAGAGAACCAGAACGGTAGGCCTGAGGCACTGGCACTGGGAAGGAAGGTATGGGGATAGAGGCGGGCATGGGGATGGACTGCAAGCTGGGGTGGCAAGGGATACAGCTGACCCAGTCCTCTGTGCCAGGCTTTGACCTGGGCTCCCTCCAGCTGACCAATGAGAAGGTGGGCGACGTGGTACTGCCCCCATGGGCCAGCTCTCCTGAGGACTTCATCCAGCAGCACCGCCAGGCTCTGGTGAGGAGGTGACCACAGGCAGACAGCCAGGGTGTCATGGTCATGGGTGGGGGGGGGTCAGCTGTCCCTGGACTGACTGCCCCCTCCCCACTCCCAGGAGTCAGAGTATGTGTCTGCCCACCTGCATGAGTGGATCGACCTCATTTTTGGTTACAAGCAGCGGGGGTCAGCAGCCGTGGAGGCCCTCAATGTCTTCTACTACTGCAGTTATGAGGGTGAGTAGTGTGCTGGACTCCAATCAGGGCTGGGGTGCAGATCAGGAGGGGTGAATGCCGAGTGCCCAGAGGGAGTCCTGACTGCTCTGCCTGCCTGTCCAGGGGCTGTGGACCTGGACCATGTGACAGAAGAGCGGGAACGGAAGGCTCTGGAGGGCATGATAAGCAACTTTGGACAGACTCCCTGTCAGCTGCTGAAGGTAAGGCCAGCTTAGAGGACAGTGGTCAGGGATGTTCATGTCACGGTGCTGACTGGCCACTTATCCACAGGAGCCACATCCGGCCCGGCTCTCAGCTGAGAAAGCAGCCCATCGCTTTGCTCGTCTGGACACTAACTCACCTAGTATCTTCCAGCACCTGGACCAGCTCAAGGCTTTCTTTGCTGAGGTAAGAGGAGGATAGGGCCTCAACTTCCCATTCTGTGAAATAGGTTTAATCCCACTGTCCTTACTAACCTCCTGGGGCAGATGGGAATTCTAAATCAAGATTTAAAGGTACCTTGGAGGCCAGGCACGGTGGCTCACGCCTATAATCCCAGCACTTTGGGAGGCCAAGGTGAGAGGATTGCCTGAGCCTGCGGGTTCAAGACCAGCCTGGGCAACTTGGCGATACCTCATCTCTACAATAAATTTAAAAAAAAATTAGCTGGGTGTGGTGGTGCTTGCCTGTAGTTCCAGCTATTTGGAAGGTTGAGGCAGAAGGATCGCCTGAGCCCAGCAGGTTGAGGCTGCGGTGGCCAAGAGCGTGCCACTGCCCTCCAGCCTGGGTGACAGAGTGAGACTCCAATTCAAAAAATAAAATAAAATAAAGGCCACTTGGAAAATGAGCTAAACATGGGAGGAGTATAGGGGTGGGAGGGGTGCCTTCTTCACCAGGGCCCAGGCAAGGTGTTCACTCACCTAACAATCTCCAAAAGCCTTAGATCTGGAGCGAGGGAATCTGGCCTTGGGCCCCTTCCCTTACTTTCTGCCTGCATTCTTGGATGTTGTCCCCAGTCCTGACTTTTTTTTAGGCTCTCCTCTCCTGTCATTGGGCTAGCAGGATAAACAGTAATGGGGTGAGAGAACCAAGGTTGAGGCCGGGCTTGATACTCTGGAAGGATCTCTGTGTCTGTCCTAGCTTCTCACTCACTTTCTGAGATGCACTCCTGAAGTGTCACTGGGGTCTCGTGCCTGATTCTTGGAGGGACATCTTTGTCTATGATGCCTACTCTGTGACCTTTAGGAGCTGAGGGCAAGGGAAGGGGCAGTACTCCAGGGAAGAGATAGTATTGTGGGGGCCCTCGCTGGCACTCAGGCATAGCCAGACCTGCGCATTCTCCTGCAGGTTGTCAGTGATGGTGTACCCCTGGTGCTAGCCCTGGTGCCACACCGGCAACCCCATTCTTTCATCACCCAGGGCTCCCCAGACCTGTTGGTAAGTGTGCTGGGCAGGGTGCCACCTCAGCTTTACCTCCTTTATGCCTTTGCCTCAAACCTACCTCTGTCTATTCCTGCCCACAGGTGACCGTGAGTGCCAGTGGGCTGCTGGGCACCCACAACTGGTTACCCTATGACCGCAACATAAGCAACTACTTCAGCTTCAGCAAAGACCCCACCATGGGCAGCCCCAAGTAGGACAGAGGGCTGTGGGTGGGGGTGGGCTATAAATGCCCTGTACCCTGAGTCATTTTCCCCCCCAATCAGAATGTAGGCCAGCTGTAGGGGAGAGGTCCAGCCAAGATCCCTGAGGGCCTGGGTCTCTTCCATGTGACTTGGCCTCACCTGCCATCTCTCTCACTGGGCCAGGATGCAACGACTGCTGAGTGGCCCATGGGTACCAGGCAGTGGTGTGAGTGGGCAAGCACTGGCAGTGGCCCCTGATGGAAAGCTGCTGTTCAGCGGTGGCCACTGGGATGGCAGCCTGCGAGTGACCACACTACCCCGGGGCAAGCTGTTGAACCAACTCAGCCGCCACCTTGGTATGTGAGCAGCCTTGGAGCTGGGAGAATGAGGCATGCAGGAGTGGGGTGGGGTTCTGAGGCTAACCAGGGAGTATGTGACAAGTCTGTTCTGCCTGTACCCTTCCCTCCTTATGCAGATGTAGTGACCTGCCTTGGACTGGACACCTGTGGCATCTACCTCATCTCAGGCTCCCGAGACACCACATGCATGGTGTGGCGGCTTCTGCAGCAGGTGTGCCTGGCGGGCAGCCCCGTGCCATCCCCGTAGCTTGGACCTCCAGCCCATTCACCCCTCAGTGAACTTCTAGTCCTACCCTCCTGTCTTCCCCTTCCCTTTGCTACCATGAGCAGGTCCGGGGCTCCATGACTTTCCAGCTTTCTGGCCTTGGACAAGGCCTTCACTTTCCTGAGCCTCAGCCTTCTCATCCAGGGTCAATCCTAAGCCAGCCCTGGTTCCCCACAGGGTGGTCTGTCAGTAGGACTGGCACCAAAGCCTGTGCAGGTCCTGTACGGACATGAGGCTGCAGTGAGCTGTGTGGCCATCAGCACTGAACTTGATATGGCTGTGTCTGGTTCTGAGGTGTGTGTATGCATGTGCCTTGGGGAGGGTGAGGTTGCTGGGCACTGCCCCTGGGGCCCAGAGACCCCTGCTCAGCACCCTAAAGCTACCTTCCTGCAGGATGGAACTGTGATCATACATACTGTACGCCGTGGTCAGTTTGTGGCAGCACTACAGCCTCCAGGTGCTGTATTGCCTGGACCTGTGTCCCACCTGGCATTGGGGTCTGAAGGCCAGATTGTGATACAGAGCTCTGCCTGGGAACGTCCTGGGGCCCAGGTATGGGGAACAGGTGCCCAGCCAAGACAGAGGGATAGTTGGGATTCTGTCCTTGCTGACACTCCCTGCTTCTTCCAGGTCACCTACTCCTTGCACTTGTACTCAGTGAATGGCAGGTTGCGGGCTTCTCTGCCCCTGGCTGAGCAGCCTACAGCCCTGGAGGTGGCAGAGGACTTTGTGTTGCTGGGCACTGCCCAGTGCACCCTGCACATCCTCCACCTGAACAAGTAAGCATTGCCATTTATGGGTTCATGGCCCCTCAAGGTGGGTGGTTATTGGCAGAGGTTAATGGAAGTGCCCTCTATGGACCAACACACTATATGTGTTTGTGGACACATTCTCCAAGGTTTGTCACCTCTTCCTCATCTCCCCATGGGGAGATCTTGCCTTGGACCTCCCTTAGTCACACATTTGTGGGAGATCTCTTTATGCATCAGGGTTTCAATTTAGCCATCCTTGAAGTGTGAACAGAGAGGACAGATGGCATAATGAAGAAGAGTCATCTACCTGCTGAATGCAAAGTCCCCTTGAATTGTGAGTTCCCGTATGTCCCCTTCTCCACTCCAGACTGCTCCCAGCTGCGCCTCCCCTGCCCATGAAGGTGCCCATCCGCAGCGTGTCGGTGACCAAGGAGCGCAGCCACGTATTGGTGGGCCTAGAGGACGGCAAGCTCATCGTGGTGGGCGCTGGGCAGCCCTCAGAGGTGAGAAGAGGGGGAAGAGGGGCCTCGCCCACGGCGGGCGCGGGGCCTCGGCTGACTCCCCTGACCCCTACTCCCACCAGGTGCGCAGCAGCCAGTTCGCGCGGAAGCTGTGGCGGTCCTCGCAGCGCATCTCCCAGGTGTCCTCGGGGGAAACAGAGTACAACCCCGGCGAGGCGCGCGGAGAGCCGGCCCG